AGAAAGTATTTGATCGTTTTTGGTGAGTAAATTTTCTGTTTTATTTTCATCAACAATTAGTAAATGTATATATATATATATATATATATATATATATATATATATCAACGAAAATAATGTTTATTAAGAAATTGAAACTTTCTTATGTATGTACATAATATAATATGTACATTTAAACGAAAACAAAATTAACTTTTTCATATATATATATATATATATATATATATATATATATATATATATATATATATATACGTTTAAATTATTTTATTGGTTTATCAAATGATTTTAGATATTACATCTCAGAACTCAGAAAATAAGAACTCAGGACTCAGGAACTAAATTTGGGGATAAAATTTTCCTGTTTAGAACGAATGAGCAAAGTGTCTTCCTTATCTTGTCGACAACTTTACATTGAAAACAATTAAATAGATTTGATTTTAAACATAGATTTACTGAAAATTTGAAGTTACAAGTTGTACATCAATTATCGAATTTCTAATTCAATATTTTGAAGAATTATTTTATGTTTTCAGTTGCATTGGTAGTTTTTTTTTATATAATATCCATTAAGAATATGCATACACGTTCCCGAAGGAGAAGTTTAATTTTTTCGATAGAAAATGCGATGTTATGATTTTATTCTTTGTCGACGTTTTAAGTCTTTTTTAATCGAATTAGCCCAACTTTTGTTAGATATACCAAAGTATATATATTTTTTACCTTTCGTCGATATTCTCTTAAAAATGGTAACGATTTCAATAATTTTAAAGCGTTTTACGCGACGACTGGCCGAGCCAATACCTTATAATTAGTAGAAAAGTGTAAAATTTTTCGTTCTCACACTCCTGAATCGATTTTAAAAATTCAAAAGCTGTTTAAAAGATATTAGTTGAGAATTGTGGTGATTACTTTTTGGTAAAGATAGGCCAGGACGTTTCTTCGTATTTATTTGTTAAAAAAAATTTTTTGTCGTTTTTGATGAAACTTTGTACGATGACATAACCATACACTTCGTAGTGTGACATAACGAAAAATTCTCGGTCTAGGATAAACGGTTGAATTAAAAAAAATCAAAATTTGGTATTGTGCCTTGCCCTTGCGATTTTAATCAGAATCTATGCCGAGCATATGTAGTCTAAATAATTTAAATTATACATTTACGAATATAATAAGCATGTTTGAATGACATCAATTGGAAATTGTATTGATTATTTTTCAGTGAAATCGAATATTTTATTATCAAAATAAACAGTTGAACATTTTACCTAAAGAGCTGAATCTCGAATCTTGATTACGTATACGTATTGACAAGTATATGCAATTTGCCTTAAGGGAAAATGCTACTTACAACTAGTTTATGCACATCTTAAACAAAAACGTTTGTTATGTTACACCTTTTCTTTGAAAATGATTTCGCGTAATTGGCTGCTTTTGGCCTTGGGTACAAAATGGGGTTGCCCAATGATTACACTTTAAATGGTCCATCCTACATACATACATAAATTATAGTTTGTTATTTTACCATATAATCACAATGGTAGGTTGCACAGAAGAAATCTGAATTAGGTAGTAAAAAAAAGTGTTGGTGTTATTTGTTATGAAAATGCCCACCTATATTATACTCTTTATTTGGTGTTGATTTTCTCGTTCTGCTGCAATAACGCCTTTTTATAACCCACATACTCTTTTATATTTATTGATACAGAAAGCTTACTGATATCTCTAAACAGTATTCAATCGTGATTTCATATTAGCATACAATTTTATGCGTGAAAGTCACGCAGTGAATATTTAATTCTCGGCTCTACGTTACTTGTTGTTTTTATCACATTCGCAAAAATTCCTCAATTGATGGATGGATGGTATATAAATTTAGTTTTGAATTACTATACTCTTGGTTCATAGAACTACTGTTATCATATCTTATCTCGTCAGTCAGGGACAAATTTTAAGATAACATACTAAAATAAACTCGAGGCATTTGTATAAGAAACGAATTTGGTTCCTTGAAGAAACATATTTGCAAGTTATGAATATACAAATAAGTAAGCGACGGCATTTATTCATTGCCGAACTAACTGATCAGAAAATGTATATAGATACTGAGTAAGCAATAAATATTCTTATCAGAAAATTAGTAAAATTTTTTTAACAGCTATTCTTAAGGTTAAATTATCACTTGCGCCATCGATGATCGACAAATCGATGCGTTTTTGCGTCAAGAGGTTATAGTGATAATTTTATCGCCAGCGCGAACTCAAAAACTTATTGATCGTATTTAAAGTGAGTGTAATTTTCGATTTATATCATCTAGAAAACGTTTGGTATTTTTATATTACTGTTTTTTTTACTATCCAAATATGTATTTGTGATGGAATCTGTTAACTTTTCTTTCCTAAGTGCGTTGTTGTAAATTCTGAATTATCACCAGCATTAATAGCAAATTATGTCATCTTATAGCATAGTTAATGGAACTATCATGGTTATAATGTAGTTAGTAGCACTGTCATGGCAATAGCGTCTAATAATATGAATTTCCAATGAATTTAGTCATCACTTGTATATTGTTGATTATTCACTGGATGTTAAATCGCATTTTAACGAAGGCAGTGATATGCTGTACAAAGCTTAATGTGATTTCTATGACCTTTTTTTTAAATAAGACAGATGATTTTTAATTACAAAATATATGAGAAAGCTACAAAAAACTTTTATTATTATATATAACTTTCATTATATTCATTTTACGTGCTTTTTATTATTTTTTATTTCACGATTAGAGCATATTCAGTGAACATGTTGATTAAAATTATAAAAGATGACTATTTTATTAACTTACTGTAGATATAGTAATCACAAAAAAACGAAAATGAAGATTTTCACATATCTTTACGTTTCAAAGCCTGATGAACATTTTGGCTTATCCTACAATTAGTTAGAAAAAATTGATGTTTGCCATAGATCTTATAATCCATATGTAGGTAGGTTTATGATGTATGTGTGCGTGTGCGGTGTGTGCAATATTTCATCGACGGTTTCTAGGACACGCATCAACCAATACAGCCGTCTCAAAGATACGGGGTAAAAAGTATCAAAAATAGCATTTTAGTTTTTGAGAGAATTCAAAAAACATTTTACTTGTATTGGCGAAACAAAGTACCAAGATATATAATGCTTGTTAGACTGCAACGCGGCCGCTTACGCGCTTTGATATGTCATCTCTAAAACAACGCGGTCGCATTGAATTTTTTTTTCTAAATTTTCAAAAAATATATATATATATAAAATAAAGTTTTTCAATAAAGTTCATTTTCTTAAACAATTTTAACATTCTCGAATATCTAATTTTTTCAGTTTTTTTAAAAAAAATTAAGCTTTTTTAAAAATTTTAAAGTTTGTGTGCCGGAAGTTCCACCGATTTTCCTTGCTGGAACGATGCCATGTACCACTAGTTTGATCTTGAATAGAGATGAAAATAATTAAATGTGTATAATTTTTACATATTATATATGTTGGGGAAGTAAGATTTCATTATATAAATTACGGTATCCGCGACTGAAATGTACGTTAACGCCTCTCTCAGATGTATTATGTAAGGATGAATCACAAAGGCAAACAGACTAGAATATTGATTTTTATGCGGCATATCCTTTATATATGGAATGCCTGGCTTGTATAAATAAATTTATATATTTATGTATATATATATATATATGTTTGTATGTATATAAACAAGCATGATTAAGTATATATATAATTAAGTATATTTTATGTTTTTGGGCGTCTCAATGAATTTTATTAATATTCTAAATAAATCAATTAACATATATGAAAAAAAAATACATATATATATATATATATATATATATATATATATATATATATATATATATATATATATATATATATTACGAAACTCTATTTTAACGGGTATTTTATTTTAATTCAATTTCCAATACAATTTGAAACTTATAAGTATAAAAATTATATTTTAGTTTAAATATGCTAAATATAAATATACTCGTTACTCTAACTTTTTATCTAGATAATTAATGACGATGCAAGTTTTACTGCTGTAGCATAATAAAAATATAAATCACTTGATGGTACTAGTTAGTTTAGTTCTTCCACGTGCAAAAATTTTCATGACCGACATTTCAACCAGTTCTGTTATGTATCTATGAACATCTAAGTCGATAAATCGACTTTATGGAGTCGTCCTATCTATTCGTCTGTATAATAGACGTATATTTATTACATCACGTTTATTGATGAACTCGCTCACATCAATGATATACATTTATAAGTACTTGTTATGTTAGCTCATATTTGTGAATGTATCAGTTCATGCTTGCAAAAAGTATTATGACTTTTACTAAATGGCAAATCTTTGCATTCATCAAAATCTCCGCAATGGACGTAATTCAATAATTATCGTAGTATTAAATACTTATCGAATGTCGCTATTTGGTTTATTCATTGATGTTTTTAGTAAATAGGGTAAAAGTATGAAACATTTTTTTTATTTTCCCATTATTTGTTTTAATGTGAAAGAAACACTTTACTATGGAATTTTAATTTACAATAATCTTGGTATGTTAACATATATTATTTAGCAATGTTTACTCATCACGTGTATAAATTTCAGTTCTATCAGTGAATATAAAAATGGAATATATTTTAATTAAAATCGATGGGAGATACGACACAATTATAACATAATACTTACTTGAAACTCTGAAAATGTATGTGCGCAGCTTTACATATGAATGACTTTGTTATTCATTAAACCGAATAAATAGGTTTTAGTACCGTGTTATTTGAAATAATTTTTATTAAACACAATTCGTTATAAAAATGCTTTGGTCTGTTATGCACATTAAAATTCACGTTTCTCTAATGTAAAGTTTTTAATTTAATATCAACAAAAATACAAATATATGATAATCTGTTTTTTGCTAATCGAATTTATTTGGATACATATTTCTTTCTTTTAGTCGAGGAATGGCTTATAAGCATAAATACCTGACGGATGTGAAAAGCTCATAAATTAAGAAGTGTTATATCGATTAGAAGCGAAGCCGAAATAGAGTCGTAGCAACGATGCCTATACCAAAGCGTCTTGTTGAGCCCGTGCACGTGGCCAGGGGCACTATACCTGAAGACTTTCCATTACCATCTGAACTTGAAGCAGCAACTAATGGAACTCTAGCTAATACTGTCCGGTAAGATAACTAAATTTACATATTTTAGGTTTAATGAGAAATTTTGTGAATTTGAAATAAAATACACTTTTTATTATCACAGGCAACTTTCTTCTTTAAGCCGGCATGCAGAAGATTTGTTCGGTGAATTAGCAAAAGAAGCTGGAAATATTAGTGAGAGGACAAATTCACTTCAAGCCCGAATAGATAGACTGGCTATAAAGGCAAATTTTATATTATATTAATATTTTTGTTACTTTTTGTACTCTATTAAACATTTTATAAATTTATTTTATTTTCAGGTCAATCATCTAGATAGCACAGTCGAAGAAGTATCTTTACAAGATATTCACATGCGGAAAGCGTTCAAAAGCAATGTTGTGTTTGATCAGCAAATATTTTCTAGAGATACTATGCCTACAGCTATGTTAGAAACCTATCAAGTAAAAAAAAGCATAATATCAATCAATTAGTTTTGTCATTTTCTTGACGTTGATTATTTTTTATAGCTTTGTGATAAACCGCCTCCTCTACACAAATTGAATTGTTATCGAGATGATGGGAAAGATGGTTTGAAGTTCTATACAGATCCAAATTACTTCTTTGAACTATGGAGACAGGAAATGTTAAAAGATACTGAAAGAATGATGCATGATAAAGTCAAGAAGGTAATTTAATTTTTTTGACTCTTCAAATATTAATTTTAATCCTTCATTATGAAAATAGAAAATTACAAATATATTGACCAGGTATTAAAATCCTTACATTATGCTTAGTATTGCTTTTTAATATGCTCTTTTGGGTATTTTAGCCGCATCGAATGCGTACAGATGGTGCAGGAGGAGCTGGTGGAGGCGGCAGACATAAGAAACGTGTTCGCGTACCACACAATACATGCGAGAGACAGAGGCAGTTAGCGGTAGGACATGGTGAAACGCTTATGCCTCATAATGTACAGTATAGGACACCGCATGCAGTGGATCCTCGATATGGGGATGATGGTCTTATTGGTACGAAGTATTTGTTCACTTTGCTTGTATTACTAAGTTGTAACAAGGTTTTGTGATAAAAATTTAATTGAATATGATTACATTACTCCTAACATTTAATTAACTTCATAAATGTATAAATAAAACAGGTATGACTATAGGTGATCGTCCGCCTAGGCCAAATTCCATTGAGTTGAGGCGTAGTTACAGCAATGCAAATGAAGCAGTGGATGGAGGTTATGGTATGAACCCCCCATCCCCACATCACCTTCATATGCAGCAGCAACAGCAAAATGCTCAACAGAACGCCCCTCCATCGCCGCAGCACAATCATTATGCGGTGCAGTATACTGGCACAGGTCAAACGTATGATGAAACGTTGCTTTATCAAAGTGCGGGGCTGGGGCCGATGAGCTCAGAGAGTTTATATGCGTATGGTGCAGGAGGCGGTACCCCATCCCGCACAAGGCCACGGCCGGCGCATCCGCCACCTGCGCCACCGAGCAATGGCAGCGGTGGGGGCACGCCAAATGTTTCATGTGCTAATACACCAACCAGGGGTAAGTAGAAACTGTAGATCAAAATGGTTGTAAAAGAAATATTTGAAGAAAATGCGATTGTTATTTCACAATCTCATTGAAACGTGATTATTATCATTTAATATTATATTATGATCATATTAAATAATAATCTTGTTAATTTTTTAGGACGAGATAATTTACCGCCTCCACCGCCACCACCAGAATCTATGACGTCTCCACCTGCACCCATAAACGGCGTTGCAGCGCACATATTAGCACGCAACTCACAATCTAATTCTCGCAGCGGTTCTCCAATGACTTCCAATACTAACAACATGAATCAAGATGGAAATATGTACCATGGAAATCACATTCAAAATAATACTCAAACTGGAGCTGGTATGATGATGCACACACAGAACACTAATTCAGCCCATCATCATTTGGCACAGCAAAATGCTAATTTGTTTGCGCAGTTAAATTCGCAATTGAACACAATTACAAGTCAATTGAATTGTGCTAATGAAATGAATGATTTACCACCTCCGCCTCCCATTCCAGAACAGGTATGCTTATTCAAATAAATGCATAATTGTTTATTTTGTTTCTAAAGCATACATCTTTATGTGTGTATTCAAAATACTAAATAAATTCTTGTACAAATAGTAATAAAATTATGGTTATACAACAAATGTATGGTTGCATTATGATATTTTTTTAAATTCTTAAATAATCATAAGATGTTCTAGCTATACATAGCGTTGTTTTAATTTTTGGGTTATTATTTTGTAGAAAAATAATTACATTTTTTACCTTAGAACCCAGCAGCACCCCCACCGCCGCCTCCGCCTCCACTGCCATTGGACGGAGCTACAACTTTAGCAAATGGTGATGCTACCAAGAGCCCACCTCCTTTGAATAAAATGTTATTAAATAATGGTGGAAGCCCGCCGAAACTTAGTCCGCCAAAGAAGTCTATGCTACCTCCCATTGTAGATCCAAGAAATGACTTGCTCAAGGCTATAAGAGATGGTAAGTTCAACATAACTTGAAATATAACATAGAGTGCAAGTTTAAGTCACTGTTTAAATTTGCAAATTATTAGTTCTATAATTAATGTAAAAAAATATTAATTATTTTAGGTGTTGGTAAGTAAATTTTATTGCTTTTATTAATATTAGCCTTGCAACGAATAGTATATTCGGCAAAATGCCGAACACCGAATATTCGGTAACTATTCGGCAGATTTTGGCGCTTAATCTCGTTTGTATTAATGTAATTACTATCAGCAATTGTCATATTACTAACGCGCCACATGTTTATTCAAGTTTTATTTAAGCAACCACTATTTGGCTACTCTTTGTTATTTGGAATATTTGGCAATATTTATACTATTTGGCCGAATACCACATGTGATAGGGAAATATATGGCAAAATCATGAAAAAAGCATTTTTTATATGTAAATGTATTTCCAATTATTTCTTTAATAAACTCAATATTATTTCTTATATATTAGGAATGCTAATCATAATAAAGCGAATAAAAAATGATTAAAAATATTGTTTGTATATTTTGCGATAAAGAGCCTATGATAGTTCTTTATTTGAAAAGGCTTAGATTGGATATAATAAATGACTTTATTGTATATAGATACAACACATGTGTGTAGCCATTGAATGATTCATCTTTAATAACAAAAATATAACAATAAAGTATTCTTTGAATATTCAGAAAAGAGTTTTTCACATGTTAATTTAAGTCCATAATGTTTATCATTATATATATACAATAGCAAAATTATTTCTTTCTATCATATTTTTAAACTAAACACTTCCAAATACAGATTCATTGCGAGCTCTTTGTCACATAGGAGATAAAGCACCAACAATGGTGTCTCTGATTTTAATTAATTGGTATTCGGCCGAATAGTAAGTTACTATTCGGTATTCGGCCAAATATTGAAAAAGGTGCCGAATTTGCCGAATACCGAATAGTAACCGAATATTCGGTGCAAGCCCAATTAATATATAATAAATTCACTTGTTTATGAATATAATAAAAATAATATAAAAATTCGTTTAAACTTCATATATAGTAAAATCTATTGAATTTATTTAAGTGAACACTGACGGCTTTATAATTTAATCATCAATAATAATTTAAAGAAACTTGTTGCGGGAATATCCTACTCAGTAGCATGCCTGACTCACTTGCCTATACTCGGTTTGAGTTCCCATTACTTATTGAAATTAAGTACAATATGAATCGTTGATTTTGAGATAGAATAGAATTAGAAGTTAGAAGAAGCATCAAGGTTAGAAGAAAAAGAAGAAGTCAGTTAAAAACAAGAATTGGGTAGTATAGTATATATAAAAAAATAGTATATGATATAATAAAAAAATAGTATATGATATAATAAAAAAATAGTATATGATATAATAAAAAAAATGATTTGATGCACTTATAAAATTTATCAGTTTTATTTTAGTAAAACCTAATTACTTTGTAATTTAATAAGAAAAACTTGACTTAACAACTTTTTAAAAATTAAAAAATAATACTTTAGGCATCAAGCTACGCAAAGTTGAGAAGATATCCCAGAAAGAAGTTGAACGTGGCAATGCTTTTCACGATGTCGCTTCTATACTTGCTCGTCGCGTCGCTGTCGAATTTAGCGACAGTGACAGTGCCAGCGATAGCGAATATGACAGCGAAGGTTGGGGCGAACAAGAGACGTCCGCGTGACGTGACCATAGCGCCATGGGCGCTGAAATCAACATCAAGACACCACCGTCTACGATCGCGCAGCGTGTGGGAGGTAGGTGTTAGTAGGCCGATTCATACTAATTGAATAATCTAATAGTTAAGAGCTGTACATTAAGGTAATCCCGGTGAGAATAATGTGTTTGAAATGAATGGCTAATTTATGAATAACTATGTTTGATGTTAGATCTATCGCAAAATGCAAGTAGAAGTTCTTTATCATCACTTTGTTTTTAATATGGTTTACAAAGTTACCAGTAACATAAAATATTGTTTTTTCTACATAGTTTCGCTTTTTAGTACTCACTGATAAATTTTGTTTTATGGGTATAATACAAGAGGCTTATCTTTATAAAAATATGACTTAATACAAATGCATTCTTAGAATTGATCAGTTTTATTGATGATTTGAGCAATACCATTTTGTTTAGTTTGCATTGATCAACTAATAATCAATCTCTGTATTTTTTGGTGATAATACTACTGGGAAAGGAACTTCATAGTGAACATATATAACAAATTAAATTCGATAATTTTTTTATTGTAATATTACATCTAAAAATTACCTTTTCTTGAACATTTTTTTAGTTGTATGACATATACTACATTCATTTAAATATATTTGAAATTATTTATTTATTTAAAAAAATATTGTATGTTACTTTGGTTGTATATAGTTCTTACTCAAATATGATGGTTTTGTTGGAATATTACAAAACCTTACTTTCTTTTTTTTTTGGTTGTATGGTCACAGATGTCTCGCTAGTATGTTTTTAATTCACGAACTTATCAGTTTTAGATGTTATTTCTTTCATGCTTGGTATTCATACAATTAATAATCAAAATTTTAAATATCCAATATTGTTAATAAAACAGTAATTCAAATAATAATATATCACAAATATTTATAAACTTATATATTATTAGTAACAAAACAGGTAGCATTTGAACAAAATAAATGATATTTTTCATATTTCTTTTTATATGGCTCAATTTTTTTTTTATTATTTTACTCTACCTTATAAAAGTAACCTGAGCCACTGTATGAGATTATAGATAAAGTCTTTACTCCAATATTAGATTTAAACATTAGTTGTAACAAAGAATAAAAATTATAAGTTAAATGGAATTATTTTATATTCAAGTTAAGTCAAAGTTAAAATCTTATTTGTGTACAAACTACTGTAAATTAGATATATTAAATATAAAATAGATCATATATAAAATTATTACTTTGTTTCATATTTTTTGGATATTTTTTGAATATTTTGAAATATTCAACAAATATGCTTGCATAGATGTCATTGGTTGACAGTTTGCAAATGTTTTATTTAGATTGTTCAATATTGGTTCTGGTTTTGTATAAATATTTGTATATGTTTGTATGTAAAGACATATAAGTATATATAGGTATGTTTTATGTATATTAGGGTGTCCCTTAATATGGACATTTTCGAATTTCCTTGCTCCCAAGGGCTCAAATGGTTCCAAATTGATAAAAAACAATTCTCTGAAAGTTCTAGCTCTTAATATTGTCTTTTAGATAGAGCGCAATTCAATCAAAGTTTTGTATGAAAATAGCATGAAAAATTTTTCAAAAATTTTGCAGAGCGTCGAATTTTCAGTAAAAATGACACGAATTTTTACTTTTAATTCATTTGTCGCTAAGTTATTCCTAAAATTTTTTTTTTAATTTTCAAAATTTTTTCCATGCTATTTCCATACGAAGTTTGATTGAATTGCGCACTATCTAAAAGTTTTAGAGAATTATTTTTTAACAATTTGGTACCATTTGAGCTCCTGGGAGCAAGGAAATTCAAAAATGTCCATATTAAGGGACACTCTAATAGATATATATATATATATATATATATATATATATATATATATATATATATATATATATATATATATATATATATAATGAAAGCATATTTCTCAAAAATATTTTGCAGAAAATTCTGCTATTAAATGTGAAAAAGTAACGCTATTAAAGTTGCCAAAGAAGTAAGTTATAATGGGTCAAGTATAAAGTACAGTTAGATCTATAAAATTTAATTTTGTATCATCAATAATGAAGTACAAAAAGTGTTCATGTCTGCATTGGGTAATTATAAATTGAGAAAATAAAATATTTGTTTTATATCTTTAAGTAATGTAATATAAATGAAGGCATTTAATACTTTAAGATTGCGTGCTTTCTTCACAAATGACAAATCTCTTCATTGCATATAGTCTTAATACAAAATCAAAATTGATACAGAATAAATTATTTATGAGATGCGCCTTAAATATGCATATGCACTCATTACATATACAATTTCGGAACCTTGTTAATTGTAATTAATATATTTGCTGATATAAATGTTATGAAGTGAAGCATCCAAAATTATTATATAGAATTATGATTAGATGGATCATGTTTGTATGATATATGTATTGAATTTTTGTATAAATTTGCTTTAAAAGTATGTTATAAAATAATGCTAAAAGTTTTTGCTAATTCGAAGTCAAAGTGAATAATATATGCCCTTTTTGTATAAATAGTTAATTCTTTACATTTGAAAGTATAATATATTTTATCTCTAATATAAATAAAAAAATTAGATGTATTTATATTTATCCTGAAATACACATACACAATGTTGAATTATGGTTAATCGAAATTTAATTGAAATGTGATACATTAATTGGGCAATTAGTTTTTGTGATTGCAGTATAATGTATAAATTAGATCATCAAGCTTTTCTTAAAGCTATGACAATCTTTATATTTTAATTCTTTAATAAATTATGATTTATATGCAAGAAGTATAAAAATAGTTTTGGTTTATAATTTATTAAAGAAAGTAATTAATAATAAATAATAAAAACAAGTTTATTACGCAGCCTGTAAAAATATGTTTAAAAATCTTTAAAATACTTATAGATACGGCTGTTTTCGTTTACAAGAAAGATTTATGCAAACAGATACTAATTATTGCAAATCCAATGATAAATATGATAATTTTGAGAAATTTATTGATGATTTTAGGGAATTTGACACTTTTGCATTTATTATTGCTATAACTATGAAATATTATTGAATTTGCAATTCACGTATGTATTTGTTATTTATATAAAACGAACTTCAGAATTAATTTTTGTGCCAGAAGCCATTTTAAAATCAATATAAAGAATGACACTTAATGATTTTTTAGATTTTTGAATAATAATTTATAAATATTAATTAGTTTCCAAAGTATTGAATTTATTTATGGAGTTATAATCTTTGATTATTTTTATTTTTAGCTTGTTGAATTTAAAATAGAATAAAAGTGATGTGATGACTTGACTTTGTGAATAGTCAATGCAATTTGTTCTCAGCTTTTTAACTCAATGCGATTATATGTAAATCTTATATTTTATGAGTTGTTATTATTACAGTTTTTATATAATGTTTGTTATTATTTTGACCAAATAAAATAATAAGATTAATCATAAAAATGCACAATATTACAAATACATGATGTAATAAGCAAATTCTTGTGTGTGTTAAACATACACAATATTAACTTCTATAAAAAAGGTATATCATATTATATGCAATGATATGTAAAAAGTATTTATACATATTTTTAATAGTGACTCATTTTTATATTATCTTTTTCTTGTAGCATTATGTAGAGCAACACTTTGAAAATTTTGATGTTGAAATGTATGAATAAATACTTCGAAGGCAGAGTATCAAGTAAAAAAAATATGTAAAGATAAAGACAAAACATATTTAATATAACATAATTTTGATGTAACATTCAATGTTCAGCGATTATACAATTGTGAAAGATACAAAAAAAGTGTTATTTTCAAAATTAAAGATTTACTGATAATGACATAGAGTTGTAAATCCAATTATCCGAAATAATAAATATGTTAAAAGCATTATATATATATATATATATATATATATATATATATATATATATATATATATGACGAAGTTGTTTTCGGGGCATCCATTCTATAAAATAACCAATTTAGTACAGAGAAATGTCTTTATTGTATCATCAATAAAATATTTTATATCTTTGAGTAATGTAATATGAATGAAGGCATTTAATACTTTAGTAGCAAATTTCTCGAGTCTTGACTTGGCCCATCTTTTCAGTGCTACATTAAAAAAAATTTAGAATTACCAATTAAAAATACATTAAAAATTATTACAAAAATAACAAAATATGAATAATAACCTAAATGAATAAATAAATAAATTATAAATATGAATAATAACCTAAATGTAAACAATAGGATAATAAATTTGTAACAAAAAAATATATTGTTAAAGTATATAAAGGTAAACAACAAAACATAATCTTATGAACTGAATAAACAAATCTTATTTTGACTTTTATATACTTTTGCAATATATATTTTTTTATTATTATATTGTTTATTATATTATTATTCATATTTATAACTATATATTTTTTTGTTAATTTTGTATATTTCTTCTATATTTTTAACTTTTATCCTGAAATGTTTTTAATGTAGCACTGAAGATAGATCAAATAAAGACTCAAAACGTTTGCTACTAAAATAAAGATAGTTTTTTCTTACTAAATTTGCTTAATTATTGGATGGATGCCCAAGAACAGCTTTATCATATATAATACACCATCTGAAAAAAACCTCATGCTTTATATATATACATACACATTTTAGGTGTGTTTATATTTAACTTTGTCTTTTTACAAATCCTTTTGAAATAATTGTTTTAAACAGGAATATCAATAAGAAACAAAATTAATACAAAATCTTATGTTTACCAGCAATGAAAAAATATATATGAAAAATGTGCCACATTGAAACTTCTTTGATGATTGATGCAGGTAGGGTGAGGTTTTGATAAAGATCCAAGTTTAGTAACATTTGAGAGCAGATCAATTTTGATATTTTGAATTATATTCGGTTCAATCATAGTAGGAAATGCATTCAGTAAATTGCTTGTGCTACCCGACCTTATGCATATTTATTACATGACATGCAAAACAAACTAAATTTGCTTTATATATGTATATATATACATAACTATATATACTTTATATATAAATATATATGTATATATATATATATATATATATATATATATATGTATATATATATATATATAATTATCTGTAAATTTATTAAATTAGTATATTTATATAGAGTTATAAGTAATAAACTAAATTAAAAGAAATTTTTTATAGAATGTAGATTTAAGAAATATTGTACATAAAATGGATTTTTTTCACAAATTGTGATTATTGTGAATGTACATTTACTAATAATTTGATAAGTTTCTGGAGATTAAATAATAA